TGACCTTGTAGCGAGTGCGATAGTCATCTATAAGGTTGGTAAGGTCACAGTTGGTCTTTGTGGTCTCTTTGCAGCTGGTCACCTCGTTCCAGTCACCACTGTACCTAGGTACAAAAAACATACCAGTCACAAACTGGAAGGAGAGGAACTAGTGGATGACAAATACAATGAAAATAAAATCTAGCATTTCAACTATGTGTGGTAAATTATAAGAATCAATGGAGAAATAGTAAAGAAGGAAACATTTTAAGCAGTTTAGAGGTAGAGGAAAAATAGTGAATGAAGGGGAAATTTGAATTGCAAAATAATAGGAGGTTTGCGAACTGATGGTAGAATTCTTATGAACATACTTTCCCATTTGTACATTGTAGTGGTAATTTGGAGGGGCGCCCTCAGGATGTTTCCAAATTGCGATTACCTCCCCATCCACAATATCTACCCTCAGGTCTGCAGGCTGAGGGTCTTCCAGTCCTGCCACAGAAAAGACAAAGATGAATTATGATGTATATTCACAGCTCATTATTACAAGATCATTTAAATTTCTCCAACTAAAGTACAGTTTTATATTATATGTCCAAGAGAGGAGACATTTGTATTGTACTGTAATGTAAAATCATGAATCGGATCTATACACTGAGAAATTGTTGAAAACATTATTTTTACTCAAATGCGTTGTCAAAGATGTGGTCAGCAGGAGAAAAGGAAGTGATCTTTACAATCACATATGGGATCTCAGATCCTAATGCCATTGTGGGGTTTTCATGAAGGAAAGGAGAAGGAGTTTTACCCATTTCCATTCTAACTCTAAAATGTTCATTAAAACTACCCATTTTACCCATGACACCTTTATGGTGGAAACCATATGGAAAATAGAGTTTCTAAAATGTTTCATCAAAACAGACAAACATTTTCCAGATTTTGTATTTCGCCTATAGTAACAATTCCACAATGATGAACAAAAAAAAAAAAGTAATTGTCAAGGTAGCGGTGGTAAAAATCTAATTTAAATAAAAAACAAGATTAAATAAAACTGATGAAGACTTAAGATACAGTGTAATAAAGTTGTAATAAAAGTTGTTAATTACCTGACACACAGTTTATATAGATAATCAGGAAGACAAGAATCGGACCCATATTGCTTATATCCATTTTTGGCCTCTGGAGCGGTATTGTAATCCACACAGCAACTGGCATTAAAGTCCCGTATTGCAGTCATCAGTGATGTAAAGGAGACTGTAGATACATCTTTTCTCTTCAACAGTGTAACGGTTCAGATTTAACAGTGTTGAAAAATGTCAGAAAACGTGAAGCAGGTGTTCTCTCGCTGATGTGATGAATGTTCATCTGTGGAAGAGCGAACAAGAGTCAGCTTGTGTATTTCCCTAATGATCTGATCTACATAGTTCCCCCACATACACCCTTCCTTTCTTGCTCAACTGCCCTCCCTTTCACATGATGCGTTTCCTGTTGTGACTTGTCACTTGACGCTGCCGCTGGTTTCGTCTCTCTCTCTCTCTCTCTCTTACTTCTCTCACCAAACGTTTTCCTTCCTCTTTGCTTTTTCTTTTCCCCTTTCCACACTCTCAGCAGGCTCATGATGTACAGTGAAACTCTGTTTCTCAAACTGTTGGACAGTACACAGTTCAGGGACAAAAAAAGGGAAGTGTTCAGGGATTCCCCTTTCACTTTCCTTAATTATATGCAGGAGTTAGAAAAAAGAGGCATTCAGGTGTTTTCAAAGGGAATCTTTTTAATTCCATAATGAAAACTAGTAGCATGCACACATCTGGTCTTTTCTTTTTTTCTTTTTTTTTCGCCCCATCATGGTCTGTGTTCCAATCCAATCCAATCCACTTTATTTATATAGCACAATTTTAACAAACACAAGGTTTCCAAACTGCTGCACAAAAAGATTCAATGTTCAATTCACTGTTATTTGTATAGCGCCAATTCATAACAGCTTTTCAAATGGAGCAGTTCTAGACCGAACTCCTTATAACATTATTTACAGAGACCCAACAGTACCACCATGAGCAAGCACTTGGCGACAAGGGCAAGGAAAAACTGCCTGTTAAAAGGCAGAAACCTAGGACAGATCCTTCGGCTCTAGGTGGGTGGTCGTCTGCCTCGACCAGTTGGGGTGAGAGAGAGAGAGAGAGAGAGACAGACAGACAGACAGACAGACAGACAGACAGGTGCACAGTCAAACAGGACCATGGCAGGAGGCTCCACCAGGAGCAATGAGAACCTGACGAGAAAAGCACAAGAACTCCAGGGAAGAGGTGAAGTTAGTAACATGCAGTAATGGGACATGAATGAGTGCAGAAAGAGAGAGGAAGAGATTAACAGAGTAAATAGATTAACACAATAGAAGCACAATAGAAAGATGAAGTACACTTTATAAAAATAAAAGCAATAAAATAAATAAGTAAAATAAATAAAATAAATAAAATGCACTGCCCGCACACGTTAAAAAATATGCATGTATACACATAAAATCAACGCTCTACATGGTGTCAAAAGCCAAAGAAAAAAGGTGGGTTTTAAGAAGAGTTTTAAAATGAGACAGAGAGGAGGCCTGTCTAATGTGCAGCGGCAATCCATTCCAAAGTTTAGGAGCCGCAACGGCAAATGCTTGATCCCCTCTGAGCTTAAGCCTAGCTTTAGGCACTGTCAGGAGCAGCTGGTCAGCTGACCTGAGAGATCGCCTGGGAGTGTAGGGGTGCAGCAGCTCAGAGAGGTAAGATGGGGCAAGGCCATTCAAGGCTTTAAAAGCAAATAAAAGAATTTTAAAATTAATCCTAAAATGGACGGGCAGCCAGTGGAGTGCAGCTAAAATAGGTGAAATGTGGTCATACTTTCTTGAGCCAGTTAAGAGACGTGCAGCAGTGCTCAGAAAACCTCAGTTGCAGTTGGCTGCACTGCAGGTGGTTTTTGCAAAGAGCAATGGTAGCGATGACTGTGAGAAGTTAATGTATTATTATGTATAAGGTTGTAATTAAGATGTTTCTTTAATGTAGTAAATGGAATGTCTTTATAAGTAAGTTATAAAATCTACATTATACAAAAATGTATCTGCTGCATGAAACACCTGCTTCTATATATGCTATCAACAAACCACAATGGCCATGGGATCATATCTTCACACCTCATCTTGCTCATAAACACCCCAGTCACTGCAGAATTTAAAAGGAAACGTGTGAAATAAAGGTTATTGTGGGTGGATATAAAAGATAAGACGACAATCTCTCTCGCCTCTTCTGTTTCCATTACATCAGTGCCATCCTCTACCTGGGTTTTTCTCATGACCTTGTTTAGTTGCACATAATGTTTACATATATCACGGGACATTTGTCTTGTCATGAAAACACCAAACTCTTGCTGTTTGCATGCTAACCTTTGTTTTACTTTGTTTGAACTCTCATCAGTAAGTCTACTTGAATTTTAAAAATATACTTTAATTCTGCGAAAGCACTTATGTGATCTTAGTTTCCCCTCTTTTTCTCACCTCCTAACATGTGACTTTTAAAGTTTCAGTTCCTAGAAAATGCAAACTTATTTTAGTGGTACCTTTTGTTTTCTGTCTCTTAGGCGAACAGAGACCTGCTGAGTGAATCAGAGCTGTGGCAGTTCCACTTAAAGGTCAGAGATCCTCTGCTGTTGCTGAGAAGGGGGACTTTCCTCTCAATTTTCTTGGTAGGCATTGGCCAGTGGCTACATGTGCATAGGAAGAGGCTGTATGTGATAGCAGCCTCTAATTGTGATACAAGGCAAACATATCTTTGCAACATATATAACTGTATACCTGTATATGCAAATGATCAACAACAAGAGTACAGAATAACTGTAATTGATTAACCCAAAGTGTGAAAGAAATAACTGCAGGAATTTTGTGTAAAACAAGTGATTTGGATGAGTTTTGAGCAGATTATTTCCTGTGGATATTGATCAGAGATGAGTTTACCTTATATTGTGAAGAACTTTTTATACAAATCTGTGTCTGTATTATGTCATTTTTTAATTTCCATTAACGGAGTGAAGGCTTCATGAATTATAATAATAAGCTTGTGTTTTGATTTTAGATTAGATCCTCAATAAAAATCCCTACTTTACAAATAACGTTTATTGTAAATAAGTTTTCTTATTAAAACGCTGAGATATAGCCCCACTGTGTACATTTTTCTTTTTTAAAAGTTTTCTCACATCTCTTAACATCATGAAGGCTTTGCAAATCCCCGTGAAGCTTTGGCGACCCATAGTGGTTGTCCTGACCCCCAGGCTGGGAACCACTGATGTAGAGGGTCTCAAGTGACAGAAACTGAAAAAAAGGTGAATATACAAAATATTAGGGGCCGAAAGCGTTTGAGAAGTGAATGTAAATGAAAACACAGAGGTGGAATAATAATAAATAACATGTTAAGTCAGTGTGCAGAAACTAACCCCTGTAGGGAACAGCTAAGATGTTATGTAGAAGAGTACCACCCATTTGACTGAGTGAGTAAGCATTTTAAAAATAGAAACACATTTATAAATACACACACAGATTAATCATTAGCTGTATTTCCTGGATTCAATGACAAAGCTCTTTTTTTATCCAGCAGTTCCTTAATGCCTAAAGGCCTATTGTGATGTAAGATGTACAGATGAGAAATCCATCATTAAACTGAAATATTGTAGAAATTAATTGTGAAAATATGAAAACATTTTTTTTAAGTTTCTGTCATTCTCTGGGGATAGGAGGACATTTTGGTTCAGGTCCCTGACTGCTCAGTTACTGTCATTTGAGCCATCATGGAGCTTCTTACTGTAAACAAGCCTTGACAGTCTTTGCCCCGAAACCGGTCTGGCAGGTGGGAAACTGGTGCACTGGGCGCGCCTGTTTCTGTGAGGAGAAGAATGAAGGATTGACAGAAAGATGGAGGTGGGAGGTGTTAGACGGAAGAGGGAAGGCAGATCTACCTGTTTGCTCGGATGAAGGTCAGTGGCAATCACAGTAGAGTAGAAAGGACAGGAGAAGAAAACACAGAGGAGAGTAGAGGTGTTTAATGTGGCACCACCATGCAGTAACTGCTGCTCCGTGACTGAGTAAACGCCTGGATGTGAAAAAGCTCCACCAACCTGCTCTCACCTCCAGTCTCCACTCTCTGCTGACCTGAGTCCAATGGCAAAGCATGACCCGGTAGGTTTCTCATTTTTCTTTGTCACATGAAAAAAATGCCTTCTTCTTGTTACAGTGTGTCTCTTGGCCTCCTTTTGACTTTTCCTTTCCTCCATTTAATAGGGAAACCTCCTGCTTGGTCAATACTCACCTGCCATTCAGAGTTTGAATAGTGGTTCTTCTTTTGTTCTGCTTCTTCGTTTGCTCAGTTTGAGTTTCAATATTTTGTTTTGTCTGTTAATCTGTGTGGCCTCCATACAACTGAAAAGTGCTGTTCATTACAGGTATTATAGGCTGACATCAGCGGTTTTATTTGTTTCAATTTACCTGCCCAACAGCAGCTGAGAAGGGAGTTTGAATATAGGTTTTATCTAAACAAATACTGTTAAAATAGTTTCTGCCTTTATGTCAGGCCCACATTTACACTTTTTACTTGAATCTCTTTATATTATAAAACTTTTATTTACATTATATTGTAATTCTATTATCCCCACAACATCAACTTTTAATGAGCCATGTTTTCAGCTTTGTGACAATGAGTTTTTCGGATAATCCAGTGTGTTTTCCATGGTTAGATTAGGTCAGGAAGTAGGAGAATGTATTTCCACTTTCACTGGAACATCAGTTTATCTGAATTGGATTTGATTTGGATTTTGGATGTAGCTGCAAATTTGGAGATACGTGGTTTTCACTGGATATCTATCTCTACTCACGGCACCTATTGCGACATAAACATTTGCCAAAAAAAAAAACCCAACCCTGTTAGAGTTTTTTGTGGAACATTTCCTTATCAAATATTGACACTTGACTATCGATAAGCACACAATGCATTAGATTTGCAGTTTAAGTATGTGGTTGAAAGAGGAATATTTCAGATTGTTTGTGGTTGCCGTCAAGCTCAGATCACTTTGTCCTTAAGAAATGCAGTGGCCTGACTTGTATGTGCCTTGATTTATTTTAGGTCCTGCAGACTGGTCAACTAGCCTGCAGTAAACATAAAGGGACACTTTAGATTCCCATTTCATGTTGGATAGCTTTGTAACTTTATATTATCCTAATTATTGTTAGAGTGAAATATTGACCTTTTAAATGACATGTGAACTCCCAATCTCTTAATTTTTCAGTATTCTTCCATCATAATGGCTGATAGGCTAACTATGCAAGATGATCCAGGTGTACTCTGCTGGGAAATATGATGAACCTGCTCCTCCACCTACTTCAGCTTGGCCATTTCACTTCAATTAAGTGCGGTTTATGCTGCCTATAGGCGTATTTTGAAACTTGATCAGCATGCAATAGAAATGGTCTTATGAAACACCTTTTGTAGCGAGTCCACCCATTGCTTTCTCAGCGCCTCCTGGATGGATTAATTCCTTTCTTTTTTCGACAAAGGATCCCCCCGCCCCCCTTTTTAGATTGTGTGCAGTGATGAATGAAAGGTCACAACAGTTATGGAGATCATCATTGGTTGGTGGCGACTAAATCGTAGCTTTCTCTGCACCTATGGCAGATTTGATGAGGTTCCTCTGCTTCCTGCTCAAACTTCGATAACAATCCAAAATTGTATTTCACATACAATATATTGACAGGTTGCAACTGTACTAGCTTAGTTTTAAATTGAAAAATTAAATTAAACTTGCCGAGAAACAACTTTCATGTCTGTTCGATAAATGTGAAATAAGTTCCAGCAGCCAGTTAGCTTAATTTATTACAAAAACTGGAAACTGGGGAGACAGCTAGCCTGATTCTGTACAGAGGCAGCAAAATCTAGCACCTCTAAAGCTCACCAAATATCACATATCTCGTTGGTTATACCTATAGTGACTTGAGGAAGTTACTGTGCTTGGCCAAGAAATATTGCATAATGCAATTCCCTGTAACACCACAAAATGTTGTCTTTACCCTCTGGTACAGATTACAAGAACGAGGAAGTGTGTACATTAGTGAGCTGGCTCTAGCTACATAGTTAGCATTAAAACAGAGTTATATGAGGCGTCAACCTCCTCATATAACCCGTCAAGAAGGAAAATTAGTACAACAGTATACAGTATAAACATCTAAAAACATTGGAAATGAATTATTCAGTCCTTTAACTAGTTACTGGCTCTGGCCTTGACCTATCCTATCAATGTGTTTTATGTCACAACATTCTTGTTTACAGCAGCTAAACGTCAACCATATTCAGAGAAGCGGGGATTTTTTCTGTTTCAACAACTGCTTTCAAAATAAAGTTCTACATGTCACTGTGGTAGAGAGACAGAGACACAGATAAACCAGAAAGTCTGACTAACATGTATCTATTTGTGAGTCAGCCACAATGAGCACATAGCTTAGCAGTAGAGCTTTAGCCAACTGGATAAAAGCACTATCATAACATAAGTTTTAGTCACCTGTCTTCACCCTGTTACTTTTGATTCATGAGCAGATGGTAATCTACTTGTCCCAAAAAATCAGATACTGATTAAATTGTATGAAGGACTTGATATGACTACAGGGAGCTGTGAATCAAAAAGGGGAGAGGAAATAGCATGAATAGAAAAATTAACCTGTTAAAACCTGATCTTTTACACTGTTGCCAGGATACATACATACACATACACTTGTGTCTTCGTGCATAAGGTTGTTACCCAGGTGTAGACTTAAACATAGGCTTGATAATAGTGTTAGGATTGCATGTAGGACAATGGGCTACATGCTGAGTCTTGGCAACCAAAAACAAGCAGATGATATGCCGCCCTATCTTTTTTCTGTCTACTGATATTATTACACCTATTAAATATAGCATTAGTGTCTTGTTTCCAAGGGTAATAGATGGTACAATAATCGACAAAGACATCACATTGTGTTATTACAGTAAGGGATTTTATCTATATAATGACATCTCACTAGTTTCCTCATCCTTGTCTTAACAGAACGACCCCCCTCCTCCTTACTACTCCGTTGCCATGCACACCCAGCCCCCCCTCAAGCCCTATGAGGAGGTGGTGTATGGTGTGGGTCCAGGGCTGACTCCCCCGTCCCATCCGCATTACATCCCCCAGTATCCACCACCTGTGGTTGTTCCCCAGGTCACACGGTCAAGCATACGTGAGTGTTATCCACAGCTCCCATATTAGAACATAATGGATGCAGGTGTGCGTGCAAAACAAATGGAGCCAGAGTATTTGAGTATTATTAATGTGTGTTTGTGTATATTTTGTACTGTCTGTGTCCAGCCCCCAGCAGTAAGAGGAAGAGATGCTGTGATAGTAATTCCCAGTGTTACGGAGGGTTAGGAGGAGCCTTACTGGTGCTTGGTCTGCTGGCACTGGCGATCTGGCTTGGAGGTATACTGTGTTTATTCATACAGATCACTGGACATTATCATTAATATTAATTTCCTGCTCTAATTTATTTAGAACTATTGTACCTTCATGCAAAGTATATGATAGTCAAAATGTTTCCTGTGCCCTTATGTTTATGATGACAGTAGATTTTTGGGGATTTGTTTTGGCATACTTTTACAAAGGACTCTAAGTCGGAACAAAGTAATATGAGGATGTTGTTGCTTTTTGCCCATTTCCATTGAGTTCTGTTAGCATTCACAGAATGGTCGTAGTTGCTAAATGGTATATAGTTGCTTATATGCATTAAGTGAGTGTCTTATTTCATGTCTAGATGTAGTTTTAGTTAAAGCTGCAGTAAGTTACTTTCATAAAAATAACTTTTTGTAATATTTGTTAAAACTTTCACTATATCCTGACAGTAGTACACGAGACAGAAAATCTGTGAAAAATGCTGGTTCCTTTGGCTCATCCTAGAGCTCCTAATGGCATTTGCAAGAATCCACCGTGGCTGTATGAAAACAACCAATCAGAGCCAAGAAGGAGAGTTGATTGTGGAGTCTCATTCCCAGGTCTTCAAATATTGATGCTGAGACTCAACAATCAGCCATCTTCAAGCCACCAGCCCAAAGCATCTTTCCATGTTTCTCAGCGAGTGGTTGTTTTCATTAAGGTCCGGTTGATTCTTGCAAATTCCATGAGGAGCACTAGAAGGAGGAAGAGGAAACAGATTATTTTTTCACAGATTATATGTCTCATTTACTGCTGTCAGGATATATGATGAAAAGTTATTTTTATAAAAATTACCTACTGCAGCTTTAACAATAAGAACAATAGCACACTCTACTTACCTGCACTAATTATTTCCCACTCTACCCCAACGACAGTTCGTTATGGCACTCGGTTGGCAACTGTAGCAATCCTCTACGATGATGACGACGATGATCATAAAAATGAAAATCTGCTTTTGCCAAAGTATGACACCTGCCCCAACAATACTGTCCAATGTGATGCGATAAGAGACTGCCAACTGGGCACTGACGAAACAAACTGTGGTGAGTAGGCACATGCACACACACAAGCACACACATAGACCTTACCAGCGTGAGGCGAATAGAAGGACAGATGGTGAAGAAGAATGGGTAGACACTTGACAGCCAAAAGGATACCCTCAAAATGAAAAACAAGCTTGAGGATCTTTGTAATACATTGGTTTGGTAACACATATTCAGTGTTGCTGAAACTTAAATCTAATAATATTATGTTATTTGTGTAATACTTGTAAAGCAAGGAGTAGAAAGTACATTCCCGTAGACTACAGTTTTCGTTTTGTGAAAATTTTGGACTTCATTATTAGAGAATTGTGTGCACACAGCAGCATGCTTGCATTCATCCTGTCTTGCATAGTGAAGCTAATTTATGTCATATTTGATTTTGTGCTTTCACTGTAATTGTTTGTAGTAGCAGCAGCACACAGGCCGAAGACTCCACATTACTGTCACATAGTGTTAAGCATAACCCACTGAAGAGACACCATCTAAGCTGTCTTCTTTCTTTTGTCTCCCTCCGTGTCTTCCCTAGTGAGGTTTGGCAAGGACAATGGTTTGCAGGTCAAGACATCTCAAGATGGCCGCTTTCTACCAGTGTGCTACAAAGGCTGGGACCAGAACATCGCCGACCGGACCTGCGCATACCTAGGATTCAGAAAGTAAAGCATCATCACTTAAATCCATTATTATTTGTCAAAGCTAACCTGACCTAAAGTGTGCTAAATGATACACATAAAATAGTCTCTGAGCAACGTTTTGGATCAGCACTCCGGTATCAAAATGTTTATCCTCATTCCCCATCATCATTCAGAGCTATCTCATGCTTCATGACGGAGTGATCTAGCTTTGCCAGACCCATTTTCAACAGCAGCTAACGAACATGTTGGCTTCTTTCTCCAACCGGCAATTTACCCAGAGATCCATCTAATTTCTCCTCACCTGCTGCTGTGTGTTTAGGATTGAATTGATCCTCCAAGGGTCTCTCTGGGGTGTCTCAGTGTGGCAGAACCAGAATGAGTTTTCAGACCCAATCAGGCATTGTTTCCAACAAAACGGTCTCTGTATGTGCAAGTTTATCTCTTCAGCTTTCTAAACTGCCCTTTTGTTTATTTCCAGGTCCTATGTCACCAAAGCAATACAAACCCAGGAGTCTATTACTTTAACATTGACCAGCAGATCAGCTTCACCTATCCAGGGTCTGGTAAATGTCAGGTATACAATCTAGTCCTATTTCTCCTTTATTTTCATACACAACTTAGATTAGGATCCTTCCAATCTTGGCTTATTATGAAATTTGTCTCACCATGTGAAATATCAATATTTGTCATTTGGTGTATTATTTCCTGCTTTTTTATAAAATAAAATAGTTAATAGTAAGGTGCGCATTGGTCTCATGTTTAAGGTCCAGTATGTTACATTTAGGAGGATCTATTGGTAGAAATGGAATATTATATTAATAGGTATGTTATCATTAGTGTATGATCACCTGAATATAGGAATTGTTGTGTTTTCTTCACCTTAGAATGGGCTTAAACCTTAGCTGTACACAGAACCTTTTGTGTTTTTCGCGAGTTTCATGGCCACCATAGTTTCTCCTACACACTTCCCACCTAGTCTTCATTCTCAGGTTTTCAGATACAGTTGCAATGTGCAACTACACTGCTAGATACTAGAAAATCCTACACAATGGTCCTTTAACTGACATATTTTTCTCATTGTGGCATTACGCAGTACTTCCTGTCCAGACCAGAAGACTGTCTCCCTGCAGTGTATGGGTAAGGAGCCTCCATCTGTTCCTAAGTCATGTGTCACACACGATTACACACGAGCTCTTTCTTTCTCTATCTCTCGCACACAGTACCTACGACTGCACATCCAGCCATTTGCCACCTTTCTACAGACCGTATTATGTTTAAAGCTGGGGTGAGGTTGAATTTCAACAAGAAAACCAACAATGAGATACTGGAGATCACAATATGGCAGATAGGAGGGGTAGCATCCAAGCTAGGTTGGGCAGTCAAATCAGCTCCTCCGGTCTGCTGCTACACTTACTGTACATGGCATATTCATGGCAACATAACCAATGCACCCTTTTAGTCATGTTTACCTAAGCCATCAGTGCTTTGCTCACGATGTTGCTGCTCACATACTAACAACTGCTGCTGACACTTCATACTCATATAATGTTGCATTTCATAGCCCCCAGCATCCACCTCTTGGTTTTGAGTCTCCCTTTCTGTAGATATTTTCATCACTCCCCACTCCCTGCTGTGATGAGATCAGAGCCTAGACAGCAAACATCAACGCTGTATATGTTCTACATTCACATTATAATTTCTAACCATGAGCGCTGGCATACACCAAATTATATATACAGTTAACACACTGATGTTCAAAGCAGTGACCTGTATTTCACTGTTTGTTTTATATCCACTAAAACTCGTCCCATGTGTAAACAAAAAAATTGTAACTAATTTCTTTACTTTCAAAAATCACTGCTATAAACAGAGTCTGTAAAGCAATAGATATCTCAATCCTATACAAATGATTTATTTTTCTTTCTTTTGTATTCTACAGTATCTCATATTGTCTTCTGTTCACAGACTGTGGTAAGCAGCAGACTACATCCCGGATCATCGGGGGCAGCATGGCTAAGGTGGGTCAGTGGCCTTGGCAGTTGTCACTCCACTTCAGAGGATCCCACGTCTGCGGAGGAGTCTTGATCTCTCCTGATTTTGTGCTGACCGCTGCCCACTGCTTCCCAAGGTGAGGATGTCTACTTCAGGATTCCTGTTTTTTTTTATACTGCAATAATCTTCTTTATTTTGGCAACATTGGAACACAACCACTGCCAAATTAGTTTGACTCCATTGCTCTTTCTGTGTTTCAGAGGCAACACTTTGACCCTCTTGGCAGAGAACTGGAAAGTATATAGTGGAGCTGTGTCTCTGGACAGACTACCTCAGCCCTACCTGGTTAAGAAGATCCTACTGAACGAGGACTACAACAGCAAAACTAATGACCAAGATGTCGCTCTTCTCAAACTTAAATCTCCAGTTGTTTTCAATGGTCAGTCACAGCTTGACTCTATTGAAACAATATATTTTATTCTACTTTCATACCTGAGGCTGTGGTCAGAATGTGGTGATCTGTCATGGTGGAAATTTAAATCTAAATTGAACAGGTGAACAATGCACTACTTTACCATTAACAGTCACTTTCTGATTCCAATATTAATCTACATAAATCATGTTTTTTACTTTTTACATGATTTAATATCTAAGAATTAGAACAGAATTTGGTCATCATGTAGTGAAAGTCCATACAATCAACACAAAAAAACAACAAAAAACATAGTGCCATAAGGTAAAGCAAATACACAGCAAAGTGACTATCATGCAAATGTTTTTCTCTTACTGTTGAGGCCGAGCTTTTATAACCTGTGCTGAGTCCACTGAGTCATACTACTAATCGGATTTGCCCAGTCCTGTGTGTGTGTGTGTGTGTGTGTGTGTGTGTGTGTGTGTGTGTGTGTGTGTGTGTGTGTGTGTGTGTGTGCGTGTGTGCGTGTGCATGTGTACATGTGTCTACACTACTATCCTTTTGAGCACAGGGCTGCTGGTGTGTTTGCAAAAGTTAAATACGTCTTTTTGTGTTATCCAGATAAAACTCAGCCAGCTTGTCTGCCAACCTTTGACCAGCAATTTCCCCAAGGAACCAGATGCTGGACCTCCGGTTTTGGCACCACTGTAGCAGGATCCGGTAAGCTGGGATATGGAGCCACCTACAGTAATACACAAAAAATTGAACAAACTTTATTTTATTGGATCCTCATTAGTTTTCCACTGTGGCTGAAAGACATTATTTAGTCATATGGTCTGCTTTGGTTACATCTACACTTATTTCTTAAAAGTGTAAGCCCCCTTCTAGTGCTGTTTCATACTTGTTCCATACTACAGAAGCCCTAATTGTTGTTTACCTACATACCAACTGGAGTATATATGGTTAGGTACTCCAATAAAGCTGAAAAAGATCCAGGTAACCTTAAAAAACATAGCTTTCCTCATGAAAACAAGCAGATGGACATAGTAAGGTGAATACAAATAGAGTAAATCCAGACGAGATCAAAGCCCACATGCATTTTTTATTTCCTCTGTTCATTCAACAACTAAGGAACCCTGTGGTAATACAATTTATTATTTTCCCTTAATCTACATTATACAGTAATGAATAAACAAATCCATGTAACACTGGATCACAGATCTGGTACCCATATTGTTCTATAGTAGGTCAAAAGGCAGGTTTATAATTGGGAACAAGAATGCAGTCCTATCTGACAAACAAATCCAGAGAGCTAGGGCAGTCAGGCAGTGGTCAAAAAGCAGGTAGACAGTCATCAGAAGAGGTACAGGCAGGCCAAGCACAACAGAATCAAGTGTGAACCCCCTAAGGGAACATGGATGATCTATCAGCGAGTGACAAATGTCTGTCCGCTCTATACTGAGGCTGATACCGACTGAGAAAGATGGACGTAAGACTCTATAGTAATGGCTGATGGGCAAAGTTTCACATTTATTCAGCCACTATTTTGACATTTTGACATCTTTTAGAGCCTTGTTAAAAAAATGAATGGGTATGCTGCCTCCTCCAATACAGGCACCGTATCCAGGGATCTGATGGAGGTGACTGTGGACATCATTGGAAGAGAAGTGTGTAACAGCCCCAGTGTGTATGGAGGCGCTGTGACTAAGAACATGCTCTGCGCTGGGGACCTTGCTGGAGGCAAAGACTCCTGTCAGGTGAGCAGTCAAAATTAAGGGACAGGTTTACAGTAACCAGATGAATATACATTGCACTCTTAACATCCAGCAAACTTTAGAGTAAAACTTATGTTAACAAAGTAGGAACTATATTTTCCAGGGTGACAGTGGTGGACCTTTGGTGTGTCAGGGGGAGAGTCGTTGGTACCTGGTGGGGATCACAAGCTGGGGAGCTGGCTGTGGTGAAAGAAACAAGCCTGGTGTTTACACCAAAGTCAGAAGTGTCCTGCCCTGGATCTACAGCAATATGCAGGTAAGAAAAGAGCAAAAACAAATAAATAAATGGTGTAGGAGAACATGTTTGACATCCAAATGATTAGGATGCATTTAGATTTGCCGTATGTTACCGGTTTTACCCATCTCAACTCTTACTCTGCCTCCTACAGCAAGAGAGGCCATGATATCCCTTCGTCTCCTGCTGGTGGCAATCTGCTTTCCCCACTTCACCCAATGAACGCTGCACTATGAAGTCGTCTCAGAGAGATGGACAGGTTTACCCATACATGCAAATTGCATTTGATGAGGAGGTACTGTGGACAGAAAGACAGACGGATGAAAAGTTGCATGCTGGTTTGGGGGAGTGGCACAACAAATTGCTCAACTTGGACACAGGGCTTCTGTCTTGGTGTTCTGCATCATCTATATTCATGTCATACGGCAGTAATGTGTATTACCCGAAGCTGATTATTGATACACACTAATCGATGCACTGACTTCAGTCTTGCATTCTTGATTTTATTCTCCTGTCTCTTGGTGTCTCAGTCATACAGAATATGTTGGTTTTAAGCAGGCTTTAAGGATGGCTGGCCCTTCTCTTATGTGTTCTGTGTCAATGACACACAGTCCACTCTACTGTGATCTCCTTAACTGGTTAGAGAATGATACTCTTTAAAAGAAAATGATTTATGATTGTCGAGGTGTGTTTTTCCTCAGGGACACATCTCAGGCTTTTCAATGTTGACGATTGTTTACCATATTAAAATAGGAAAGGACACTTTATGTATTCACTTTATGAAGGAAGAAAGCAGTGTGACCCTTGACTCCCTTTTTGAGCTGGCACTCTGTCTGCACACCTAAACCTCCCCTAACGCTCACACTGTGAAATTGTTCTCCTTTCATTGTATATCAATGTGTGTGTTCTCTGTCTGTCATATTTATGTGCATTTTGTCTAATTGAGTTTTCTATTTGTCTAATGTATGGGATCACTGAGCGTTACACACTGAGCATACACAAAATAAAGATCAAGGAAAATCGTTATAATGGAGTTGATTAATCACAGAATAAAGCCTGTACAACACACAACCTGCCAATCATACATGAGCCTGGCATAATGCTGGGGGTCTCTGCTGGGTGTGTGTGTGTGTGTGTGAGAGAGAGAGAGAAATAGAGAGAGAGAGAGAGAGAGAGAGAGAGAGAGAGAGAGAGAGAGAGAGAGACGGGGGGCAACAGAAAAGGTTCAACGCACTGAATAAGCAGTCACTCCAGGCGTCACGTTGTTATCCATCACATCTATTTTTTTTCAGGACAAGTAGATGTGAGCAGTGTGCACATATTGACAGATGAGAATATTTGGAACAAAAGCCTTGTGAGACAAGCTGATTGATTTTTGTGGGTGGATTTCAGTTTGTTGGCCAACGGTCTGCTGGAGAAACAAGAGGTAAGTTGATAAGCGCGCATATTTGATGTCTTGGATGATTTTCTTTTGCGGAAAACGAGAGTCAGGAGGGGTCATAATAGCCAAGGGAGATGGAGTGGAAGGGATCGCACATTTTTTTTTTATAATAATTTATTTCCACTGGCTTATTTTGAGTGCACAGTCCACTGTAAATAAATCGTGTTATTAGTAGGATTTTAAGGCAATCACGCACATTTCTAGCTGAAATGATTTTACACCAACATGCATTGGTGTTTACAACATTTACACACTGCTGGGTCTCATTAACTTGCAAAGATGCCATTTACAACACCTCTTGTTTGTTTATCAGGGCTATAGAATGAGGGTGTGTCTACTGGCACTGATCACTATAACCTTCACTGGTTGCGCGGCAAAAAAATAAATAAATAATAAAAAAAAAAAAAAAGCAAATAGGGATAAAATGCCTGAAAATGAACGTGACCAATTCAGTGACGCAACTGTGATCGTGAGCCCTGAAAACCGCAAGTTGAAAACCAAACATCAGATGTCATGTAAGACCCGTTGTTATTAACGACCAGTTGCTGTCAGTGAGAAGGAAAACACAAGGCGGGTGATGGCTCGTTTTTTTTTTTTCCTGCTCCGTCGGATGATCCACAGGTTGAGGGGCGCAAAAGTGGATGGATGCGCAGACGTCGCGCATCGGCTGTTGAAATATTATTGTGCCAAATGTTTATTACGAGTCGTGCCAGCGATAACCTGCCAGCGATAACCTGGCAGTGTCATCCGGGCTGTGCGTTTGCATCCTAATGGGGCAGGCTATCCGCGCGTTATTAGTGTGGGTGCGCACAGGTAACAAACAGCCGCTGAATTTACAATCACTATGCCCTGTAGCTGACGTGTTTATGCATATATGGATGTGTGCGGATTTCATTTAGAAACCGACTCAATCCAGCCGACCAATTCTGACTTTAAAGCTGCGTGCCACACCCCTTTTCTCCTGCTTATGTGTGGACTGTCCTTGTGATATGATATGTCATCTTAACCCATTTCTTGTTCGGCGCCAGAATTTTCATTTGGAGACAGTTACCATGGAGATAACTGGACACTATGGACCGACGCACATTGTTGTCATGGTGATGTAACATCATTATGATTGCAGATATAGGGGGCAAGTTTCTTCTTTCATTTTTCGCAAACGTATTGGGAGACCTGTGGTGTGACATATTTAGCTGCCCTACATTTTTTATTAGGGTTGGAAAATAGGAAATACCTTTTTAATGGACTCTGGCACTTTAGTATTTTATTTGTTTAAATACCCAAGCTGCAGGATCATTCGTCATTATGTCCTTTCAGAAACCTGCACAGCCACAAAAGCGTACAGTGAAATGGGGAGATTTGGCACAATAATACCAAACAACCTTACACCGAAAGAGGGACCTGCACATAAATACAAACAATAACCAGTAGGATAGACTCCTGAGCACAGTAAAGACACCGTTAGGGGTTGGTGGGGTGTGGTCTCATGTAAAACCACACATGCAATAGACACTGTAGTCATTCTCATGACCTTGTCTGTGTTTTCCATAATTCATAATTTAAACTGTGATTTGTGTCACAAAAGTTTGAGTCACACTGATCTTAAGCTTGTCTGAGACTCAGATAGCATGGTGTCAAAAGGTTAGATTAATCTTTACTACTTTATCGTCTCACTGCTCCCAGTGTTTTTGGTTATGCTGTCTCTTTGATCGCCTTGCTGTTTTTTCCTTTCCCTCATCACATTTCATGACCTTTCTTTTTAATGCTTTGTGTATTTTATACTGAAAATGCCACTATCATACAACAGATTGCCCTTCCCCTGTCCTCTCTCCTCAGACAGTGTCTCCTCTGCATGCCCTTCGCCTTGTACTCTCCTGCCAGATAATGTCTGTCCCTGTATGCTTGTCTCCCATTCTCACTGTCTTTCAGCCTGCCCTTTCCTTGTCCCCGCATTACAGAAAGCAGCCTCCCTGCCTGCTATTTCCTTGTCCTCCCCAAACAGATACAGTCGCTCGGCCTGCCCTTTTCTTGTCCTCCCCTCTCAGACAAAGGGGAGCCTGGCACTGGAACTTAATATTGCCAAACAATAGTGCAGATAAGGTAGGTTAAGGAAAGATGGAGAGACAACTGGTCTGGTGCCATGTATCACACCTAGGGAGAGAAAAGCTGCTGCTGAAAAGCGGCATGATACATTACATTGGGCAGTGCCATGCTGCCAAAAACTCAAGTATTCTCACAGGACAAACGTGACACTGACCTATAACGGTTAAAAAAAACTCCCCTTCCCGAAGAGATTCATATTGCACCCTAACAAAAGTGATATTCTTAACTATGATCTCATTATTTTCTTTATTCATGTGAAATCTTTGGTCAGAAAAGTATGTTTTAACAAATATAGAATAAAATAAAGCTAGACCGATAAATCAAGCTTATTGGTTCTGGTGTATGGGAAGGAATTGCCAAAGACATGTCTAAAAGGCATTTAGCAACAGTGTCACCACTGCATAGTTTTTCAACCAGAATATATACTATGATCTGATTATCTTATATTTTAAACTTAAATCTGCATTGGCTAAAAAAAATCCAGTACTGATCAGGCTATAGTATGCAATCAAGGTAGATAGACCTCTCAACAAATGTATCACAAAAGAGTTTACTGTCAGCAAAGATGAGTTTCTCTAAAACTCTCTAAAATGAAAGCTTTAGAAATTACCATCAAAAATCTATACAAAATCAAACTGAGCTTTGTATTACATAAAATTCTGCTTCCTTTCCTTTGTTGTTACAAATAAGGACAGGTGTTGTGGTGTGAATAGACATCTAGTATTTTGAGTCTGACTGATTGCTTGGCCTATAACCTCAGACTATCTTTGGTTCCTCCAGACTTGGTGGAGGTTGTCCAACAGGCCACTTAACCCAGAACACTTACTGTCATATCTATGCCATTAAACCATCTCTTATTGAGAAGAGCCACAGTAGGGCGTCACCCCCCTCTCTATCCACCAGCTAGGCATCATCTTTCCCTCCAACATTCTGCCTTTCCATTAGTCCAATACTGACAGACCTAATTTTACACTGTGGAGAGCATCCGCCTGAACACACGCTGGTGGGTTGTAGAATGTTATTTTGGAAGATTTTGCAAATGGCTAAGTAGCTGCCTCATGCACAGTTAAAATTTCCAGATGAAGTCATTAGTTCCAAGAGTTTTACTTTTGGTGGAACTCTTGTTGTTTCTCACTGAAAACACTCATAGAAGGGAGAGTGTGATAATCCCAGCAGTCCGCATCTTTCACGTTGGATTGCATTTTCATCTGTCCATCCACATACCCCATTTACCGCTTATCCTCTCAGATATATCAAAGTTTTCACACCAGTTGGGCAGCATGTGATGATTGAAAGCCGAGAAGGGTTAAAATAAAAAGAAAAGGGATTCTCCTGTTGCTATTGAAGAGGTAGATCAGGGTGGCTCAAGATCAAATGTGCCTTAAAAAATCTCATATGTCATGGTAGCCAGCTCTTCAGTGATGTGAGATTTTAGCCACAGTTTTATCCTAAAGATGAACCCTTAAAGGACCAGCCTAGGATTTAGTGGCATCTAGCGGTGTAGTTGCAGATTGCAATTCCCTTGCTTCACCCTCCCCTTCCAAGTGTGAAGGAGAAACAAACACTCCTATCTAATAATAATATCTGGAGCCAGTGTTTGGTAAGTCCCTTCTGGGCTACTGTAGAAACATGGCAGTTCAACATGGTGGCCTCCATGGAAGGCGATCTGAAGCGCCTGTAGATATAAACTGCTCATTCTAAGGTAACAAAAACTTAACGACTCTTATTTTCAGGTGATTATACAGTAATGAAAACATAGTTATGCATATGATATTCCATTTCTGCCAACAGATCCTCCTAAATGTTACACACTGGATCTAAAGAAAAAAAAAAATTTTTTTAATTAAAATTAAATGTTTTCCACTTCAAAACAGGTAGTAGAGGATGATTTAAGTGGTGAATAAAAAATGCAGTTCTGCAGTAAATACAGTATTAATGCCACTACGACAAAATATGTAAATTTGCTTATTAGTACTGTAGATACTAAATTACAACATTCATAAAATATCACTTTATCTTACTATATGACAAAATGTTCTTGTTATTTCACAAAATCAATGGTATTAAAACATACTTTTCTCGTTATGATATGGTAAGTTGAAATGTTTTTATCACAAAAAACTTGTAATTGATGTTAACGGAAAAAGATTGAGAGATTGTAGTCTACATCTGCCCCGAAAAAGTAGTACCACCAGTAGAAGCACCATCCATCCATAACTATATCTACTGATATACCACTTATCCTGTGCAGGGGGACAGGGTGGGTGCACCCTGGACAGGTCACAGGGCTGACACACACAAACAATCATACATACACATCTACAAGCAACTTTTAGAGGGGTTACTAGTAAATAGAGATTATTTTACTAGATTAATAACTAGTATATGTGTTGAAATGGAACAACCCAAGCAGAGTTCAGTCTCTGAACAGAGCAGAGGTGGAGGGGTGATGGTGGTGGACACGTACTGAAATATAGACAGACGT